ATTGGGTATTTAAGTGTCAAAATACCTGCAACGTCATAGATTAGACCCGGTACTTTGAGTAATTACTAAAACGTGATTGTAAGCATACCTCTCTTCGACTGGGCCTCGTCACCAACATACGAGTCCTTCTGACCCATTCCTACCATGACACCTTGATGTCGTGGGCGACCAACGATCGAGGGGAAGACGGCTCTGGGAGCATCATCGCCCGCAAATCCTGCTTTGCACATTCCAGATCCATTATCTACCACAAGAGCTGCTACATCATCGTCACACATCTTTGCCTGAAGTACTTTAAAAATTCGTAGAAGTCAGATAATAAAGCATCTTACAAAGTAACGGTGACGAAGTCACGGCGGCTAAAAACGAGAAACAATGAAATTTAAGGAGTAAGCAAAAAAAAGGGAGAAAGAAATACTAGAGGTGAATTGATGAAACCAAGGGTCTAGGAAGGATGTCCGAGTGAGAGCGAACGTTAAGGAGAAGTAACTCTAATGCAGCTTTCCTCTGTGACTCGGAACAAAGCTCTTCTGTAAACAGACATGGCAGCGCCAACCGGAGGAATTACGAGAAGTCTGCTGCGAAAAGAGAGAGAATCATAATCTTGGTAGGGGTTGAAACAATGGACGAACAAAAGTGAATAGAAAGGAATAAACAGCGATGTAATCGGCATCAACGGGACTCTTTGACTACCGAATAAGCAGATTTGCCGCCACAACACGGTCCAAATAGCTGTGTAGCGCCGAGCGGAGAACATGGAGGGGCGATGCTGACCGCCGACGGCCACCGCCACCGCCCAGCCGCCCTGGCCGCGGACACAACGGGCGCCGACTGCTCGCTCCGCCCTTTCCAGCTAAATTCGGCGTGTCGAAACGTGCGCGGCCACGCTCATTGGTCAATTTCAAACAGCCCTTTCGGCGCGAATCTCAAAAGGGGCGGGGCGACGACGACGAACGCAAAACACCCCACGACGACGTCTGCGTGAGGGTTGTGAAACACGCGTCGATTCTGAATGAGTCATCGAGTGGGGGTGAAAACCGATCGGGTAACCTGCTTTGTTTTCCGCACCACTACTTACAAAAGGATGAAAATATCCCATTGATTGGTCATGGGTCATGTTCCTGCCCGAATATGATTAACAAAGTACCCCTACGCACTTAAAATCATCGTAACAGAGCTGAAGGGCAGTCACATTGCTATTGATGTGTCAAGAGAGGGCATACAGCGGTCAGGAACAACTCGTCCAAGTTACCGGGCTATTGAATTGTCCTGAATAATCAGTGGGAGACGCCCTGCATGGGACGTGGGAACAATGAGACCCGCGTTAAGTGGTTCACCCACTTATGCACTCAATCATGAAAACCCAGCCGATCAGTGATCCGGACGAGTTATTCGACCAGTAGAACGCGTTACGTGACTTGTTATGTCATGCTAATGGTGAAGAGGTAACGCCAAACGACCGTCTCGCGTTCTGAAGACATTTGCCTAGGTTTAAGAGGATGAGAGTTCTGAAGTGTGTAATCCAAGTCAAAGTGCTGGAATCCTATTCAGGGTACAGAGCTGTGCGAAACACATTGAGGGTCGTACTTGGCCGCTGGAGAGGGGGGGGTCGCATTTGGTCGTTGTTGGGAGAGGGGGTCGTATGTGCCTTTGAGAGAAGTTTGCCGTGTTTTCTGAAATTCCGAAATTACGGAAAAACTGCTAAGAAGAACTTGTAGGAAAAGGGTAGGTAGGTGTTGGGGAAGGGTGGAGGTCGTACCGAAATGTTCTTTTAGGTGTGTGTGTGTGTGGGGGGGGGGGAGG